AGCCTCCTGATCAGAGGCCTTGCTGCTGGACGTAGTTTATCGTCTTACCCTGGACGTGGATGTAGTTTATCGTCATACCCAGGACGGGTTGCTGTGATCGTCTTATACAACCATGATCATATAGGGAAACCTCAGTGTAGTAATTACTGGAAGCCATGGAACTCCTCCGAATCCTTGTTTGTACTTGGAAGGGGTGATGATGGCCTGCTAGTGGGAGAAATTTTTGGTGGTGGTGTGTCTGGCTCGTTTTCATGGGCCGCCTTTTGGGGCTAGAAGAACGAATCTAACTCTAATTGTTTCCCACTTTGATACTGTTACCGCGGATTATCAATTCCCTTAATGTTCGAGGGTGTTGATAATACGCCTTTATCTCCCGACTAGCAGTAGAGCCAGGCGTTGCCCGGGGATGTAACAGTAAGAGATAGATCAAGTATCGACCATCAGAAAGACTGGAAAATAAAATTGACAAAGATTATTGTTTAAGGTTGACGGACACACATGTCTTAATTAGTTTTTTCTTTAAAAACGGGCGAAAAGTTGTGATAAATATGGCGACAATGAGGACATTAGTCCGAATAATGTAAATAGCGTACATGATACCTCATCTCAGAAATACAGACAAACTCCCAAAAATATAATATCAAATGTTGGACAATTTTTGTCTTTATATTCTCCCGAAATTAAAGCAACCATACGAAGTTTAGAATGGTCTCATGATCAAACATAATAGACATTCGTTGTCTGTTATATTTATGTTTAAATAATGATATTCTGCCCAATACACTATATATATATATATATATATATATAATCGACTCTCCCTTCGAGATTCGACGTATGAGGGTCAAGCAAATCAGTTCCTAGGAAACCGACAGCCCGACACCGGCACATGAGATTTGATTATAGTGGTGAAGGCCTCGTGCAGGACCATCCACACTTTTTGAAGGGACGAATACAGAGACCTGGTGCACCGAATGCCACAAGGTTCCCAAACGACCCACCGCAGATTTTGAATTCCGAGATGTCCTTCTCCTAGACCAGTTGCCATCCAAGGCTATAGAACCCAGTCTGTCCTGATATTTTACCCATAGCTGGAGGGAGAGTAAGAGGATTCATACCTTTCCCAAGGGTATTAGCACGTACGTGAATGTAATGGATTCGACTGGAATTCAAACTCGGCTCTGCGATTCCTCCTATTACTTATATATATATATATATATATATATATATATATATATATATATATATATATATATATATATATATATACTCGATGAATTACTTAATTATAATTATCTCAAATCCTCCTAATTTCTGTCACTTGTATATCCTTGCTTGAAGAACCGGCTTGTAATGCTCTGGGTGGAGCGGCTTAGTGATAGTAGTCGTGGCTCCTGGGGGCACAGTCCTGTGGGTAAAAGAGGAACTCGGGCGGGTTCCACCACGGAATATGTGATCGATCGGCGCTATATCGAGTCTGATTCGCTACATCTGTAATGACATTTGCCTGATATCGTAACTGTCTGGGTTTCAATTCTCGGTAATGAATGCGCACTGCTGATGAGTCCCAAATATTAGACGAAATGGCCGTCCAGTGCTTTCTGCATTTTGTTGAGGTTTCTTCTAGACTCGATGAATTACTTAATTATCTCAAATCCTCCTAATTTCTATCATACATACATATATATATATATATATATATATATATATATATATATATATATATATATATATATATATATATATATATATATATTCTATTGGGATAAGCAGATCGTTATTTAAGATTCTGATTATTACTGTGCTGCGGACCTGATGTCTTAAACATATTAGAGTGTGAACCTAATAATTTATATCATAAAGAAACAATTTATACAACTGTCAATAAATACCATAATTAAAAAAAAATCTTTCGGTTTAAACATATTTTGTCTTAGTATTTGCCTATATATAAGAAAATTACACCCTGAAGATGAAAATTTGAAATTGTCGGAAGTACTAGGCATGTGTCTTCCATCTGACAACAACTCGTATATAAGGATCTTATTATTCATGGAATTGATAGTAAGTTAATGTTAAATTAAGTCCTGTTAGCGAAGTGATTTCGCCATTAATCACATTAATATTGCTATTTAATACTTTGTATAATTTTTTTTTTTTTCATATATATATATATATATTTATGATATATATATATATATATATATATATATATGATTAATACAATTGGGAAATTTATCACTTTCAATCAGATAAGTGACAAATTTCACATTTGTATTAATCCTATTAATACTCCATATCTGATATCGATCAATTTATTGCAAAAGACTACTTGCCTTAAATGTTCTTTTAGTTTCAAGCTTCCACGAACTCACAGCATTTATAGCTTTACGCTACCTTTGTTATCGCTATATATATATATATGTGTGTGTGTGTGTGTGTGTGTGTGTGTGTGTGTGTGTGTGTGTGTGTGTGTATGTGTGTGTGTGTATGTATATATGTATTATGAAATATATATATATATATATATATATATATATATATATATATATATATATATATCGTACATTGAATGAAAAAAAATTAATTTAAAATAAATAGATTTCCAGCACTTAAAAATTGCTTCGGCATGAAACTCGGAGTCGTGCAATTAATGTGAGATATATTAAATAGGTCTCGTTACTTAACATTGAGCACTGTTTTTGCTTATATATATATATATATATATATATATATATATATATATATGATTAATACAATTGGTATATTTATCAATTTCAATCATCCAAGTGACAAATTTCACATTTGTATCAAACCTATTAATACTCTATCTCTGATATTGACCACTTTATTGCAAAAAGCACTTGCCTTTCAGGTTTTCCATTGACTGTACAGCATTTCTGGTTTGACACTATATTTGTTATCGCTATATATATATATATATATATATATACACACACACGCACAAGGGAGATGCAGTTTCAATCCCTGCCGGGGAACGCATTTTCTTTACTGATAATTCTCTAAGGCGCTCACCGACAGACATAATACACACTGTTTAATAAAGAAAAAATAAATGTCTTTTAAATATCTACTATGAGAACGCTTAAATGTAATAAGAATATCTAATTTAAAATCAATCCATTAATTCTTTAGATCTCTCTCTCTCTCTCTCATATATATATATATATATATATATATATATATGAAGAAAAATATACGGAAAAAAGAAAGAAAAATCCTAATATGCAATTATGCTGTTTTAATGTTAATATAATGTCAACGTCGGATGTTTCGGTCTAATAGACCATCTTCAGGACATATTCATAAAACATAATTAACATAGACCATATACAATTCAGCATGAAAAAGACGATGGACATAAAAGCAAGACCAATCCAAACAGATAGCTGAAATCTTTTATAAGATCAGCGTCCCGCATGTTTTATGTCCTGAAGATGGTCTATTAGACCGAAACGTCCGACGTTGACATTATATTAACATTAAAACAGCATAATTGCATATTAGATTTTTGTTTTCCGTATATTTTTCTACATGCTATCGGATCTATATCCATATATTTACATATATATATATATATATATATATATATATATATATATATTTCTTTTAGTTTTAGCCGGACACGCACACACACGCATACAGGTAACTACCATTTTTATATATATATATATATATATATATATATATATATATATATATATATAAAGGGTAGTTACCTGTTACCTGTATGTGTGTGTGTGTGTGTGTCCGGCTAAAACTAAAAGAAATATATATATATATATATATATACGCATACAGTCAACTACCTTTTATATATATATATATATATATATATATATATATATATATATATATATATATATATAGTTACCTGTGTGTGTGTGTGTGTGTGTGTGTGTGTGTGTGTGTGTCCACCTAAATTTAAAAAATACAATTGTTCATGACACATTAAATATGTATATAGTTTCCTTATCACCCAAGGCAACTTTGTAGAAAAAAATTAGCATCGTACGATTTGCATTTACCAAGATATTTTTTTTAAGTAAAATGCATTAGAATGCATTCGAAATTCTCAGAATTAAAAAGTAAAAACGAACGGTAATAATTCTTATTCCAGATTAGGATTACCATTCGCTTTTACGTTTTTTTAATCTGCTAAACACTATACATGTATGCATTTTTAAAATTTCGATTCTCTTGAATTTATTTTCACTTCCATCGTAAATAAAAGCAAAACTTTAAAAAAATGAATATTAAAACAATGAAGTAAATTTAAAAGAAGAAGAATATTAAATACAATTATTTGGCAATAAGTTTAATATTCATTTAGTCAAATATTTGTGTGTATGCGTGTGTGTTTGTGTGTTTGCGTGCGCACACGCGTGTGTTTTAGGTTGTTCGAAAAAAATATCGCAATTTTGCAGATGAAACAACTACTCGTTCAATTATCCTGGGTATGACGATAAACTACGTCTGGCAGCAAGTCTCTGATTGTAATGTTTTGAGGAGCGTAGAACCACCCCTTAATTTCTGCTGTTCCCAGGACCACCCAGAGCCGGAATGATAGCACCTGTTAGTGTCCCAGCTATGGGCAAATAGTTACCCTCCCCCAAAAAAAAAAACTGGGGTAAAAACACTATGAAAGTATAAAAAATACATACATAGTAAAAAAAATACCAGCAATACATTCTTGAAGAAGAAAAATAACAGCAATAAATTTTTGAAAGAAAAGAAAACTTTTGTAAATAAAATGATTAATTGCTACAGTAATTTACCCACGCACTCATGGACTCCCCCAGCTTTAAATAGGAGCAGGTACTGCCTTTTGGAGAGGGAAGTTTCCAGCAGTCAGCTCTGACAGTTGAACTGAACATTCTTGCTGTAACACTCTTGTTTGTATATGTTTGTATTCCTGTTTCTGTTAATATATTTGTTTAACTCAATTCCTCTCTTGTGTCTTTATTTCTGGCCCTAACAAGGCCACAACAGATAGATAATGAACAGACTGAGATAGATAGATAGATAGATAGATAGATAGATAGATAGATAGATAGATAGATAGATAGATAATGCTATGGTAATTTACCCACGTATGCATGGATTCTCTCAAAGATAGATAGATAGATAGATAGATAGATAGATAGATAGATAGATAGTGGTATGGTAATTTACTCACGCATGCATGGACGCCCCCAACTATAAATAGGAGCAGGTGCTGCCTTTTGGAGAGGGAAGTTTCCAGCAGTCAGCTCTGACAGCCGGACCGAACATTCTTGCTGTAACACACCTCGTTTGTATATGTTTGTATTGCTGTTTCTGTTAATTTATTTGTTTATCTCATTTCCTCTCTTGTGCCTTTTTTTCTGGCCCTAAAAAAGCCACAACAATAATAAATCATTTGCAATGCATTTTCATGGTAAAAACATTTGAAATGCATTATTATAATAAAATCATTTGAAATGCATTTTCATAGTAAAATCATTCGTAATACATTTTCATAGTAAAATCATTTACAATTCATTTTCATAGTAAAATCATTTGCTATGCATTTTCATAGTAAAATCATTTGCTATGCATTTTCATAGTAAAATCATTTGCTATGCATTTTCATAGTAAACTCATTCATAATGCATTTTCATAGTAAAATCATTTGCAATGCATTTTCATAGTAAAATCATTCGTAATGCTTTTTCATAGTAAAATCATTCGTAATGCATTTTCATAGTAAAATCATTTGCAATGCATTTTCTTAGTAAAATCATTCGTAATGCATTTTCATAGTAAAATCATTCGTAATGCATTTTAATAGTAAAATCATTTGAAATTCATTTTCATAGCAAAATCATTTGCTATGCATTTTCATAGTAAACTCATTCGTAATGCAATTTCATGCATTTTCATAGTAAAATCATTCGTAATGCATTTTCATAGTAAAATCATTTGCAATGCATTTTCATAGTAAAATTATTCGTAATGCTTTTTCATAGTAAAATCATTTGCAATGCATTTTCATGGTAAAATAATTTATAATGCATTTTTATAGTTGTTATGGTAATTTACCCACGCACGCATGGACTCTCCCAGCAATTGATTCAATTTAAACTTTTAACTTCCTGTCGGCCAAGAATGTAAACCCAGGAAGACGCAAATATTCACTCTCATTGAGGTTAGCATAAGAAAGAAAGAAAGAAATTGTTATAGTAATTTACCCACACACGAATGGACTCTCCCAACTATAAATAGGAGCAGGTACTGCCTTTTGGAGAGGGAAGTTTTCAGCAGTCAGCTCTGACAGTCGGACTGAACATTCTTGCTGTAACACTCTCGTTTGTATATGTTTGTATTACTGTTTCTGTTAATATATTTGTTTAACTCAATTCCTTTCTTGTGTCTTTATTTCTGGTCCCAACAATGCCACAACACTACCGCTCCCAAGAAAATTAAATTTCCGCATTAAATGACCCATAAGTAGTTGATATGCCGCTAAACAAACAAACAAACACTCGTTTAAATTTAAGAAAAAATTAAATTTATTTGTCACGAACTTAATTATCATGGCGAGCAATAAGAAACGGTCGGTATGAAATTAATTCTTTTATTCTGTGTTTTTAAAGAATTTATGACTAAGGATAAAATAGATCTTATCGATCTTAATTGATCACTTTCTTACTTTTAATGGTTATGTTATGAAGACATCTCGGCGATCTGATTAAATGACAATCTCGAAGATGTGCGTTTATTCTGATCAATTTGAATTAATTTCTTCCCTATTCTTAATGTATCTCCTGGGATCTCACTAATTTAAAATTTAGAGTTGTGTAACGGGCCGAGTTGGAGAATTCGTTGCAGCTCGTAATAGATATACACGAGTCCTCGAAGGAGCTAAGTCTCTGTTTGCCGAGAAAATGAGGTCACTGCATTGCATCTGAAAACTTTGACTCTCGTAAATACTGGCGGCTACGTAACAGTGTATTTAATATGTGTAAGTTCTCTATTCCTCCTCTCTTCGATCAGTTAACATCTTCTGCTGATAAAACTGAATGTTTCACCCATAAATTCTCCTTAAGCTCTTCCCTTGGCTCATCTAGAGTATTCCTACCTAATTTCCTACTTAGAATGGAGTCTCTGTCGAGTGATATGCATATAACCCCTTCTATGGCTTCTGCTATCATCTCGATCCCCATAGAGCATTGATCGTATCAATGTAATAGTCATTAAAAGGTGTGCTCACAAACTGGCTCCTGTTCTCTCTAAACTGTATAAAAAGTGCCTCGCAGCGTCTTGCTTTCCTATCTGCTGGAAGCTTTCATTTGTTGTTCCGGTTTTTATGAAATCTGGTGAACCGTCCGACCCTTCAAACTATCGGCCCATTAGCCTTCTATCTCATTTCATAGAGGCCCTAATCAATCCTGAATTGGTTCAGCATCTAACATCGCAGGGCCTTTTTTTTCAGACAAGCAATATGGCTTTCGTTTCTCTAGTTCAATTACTGATGTACTGTCTCGTTGATCCTTCTCAGGCAAACGTTCCCAGCTGAAGTGGAGAAACTACAGTGAATCCATTGCTAGGTCAACTACTAAGAAAGTTGGTTCACTGTGTTGTGATAGACATTTTTTTCTCTCCAGAATCTATCTTATATATCTATAAGTCTACCATTCATCCATGCTTTGAATATTTCTGCCTCATATGATCCGGAGCTCTTGCTATTAATTTTAGAGTTCCTTGATAGAATTGAAAGAAAAATCTGCAGAATTATTGGGGCAATACATGGCTCGTAAATTTTAAAGCCTCCAAAACAAGACTGGTTTAATTTAATCACCAGAGAAAACCTTTTTCTGTCTGTCATCCGCATGGCTGATGCTAAACTTCAAGAGAGCAACACACTAAGCTTTCTTGGCCAAACTTTTTTCATTTAAAGGAAATAGGTCGACAATATTGAATCAATTGCTGGATCCACTGCATGGAAAGTTGGTTCGTTTTGTCATGCCAGACGATATTTTGTCGTCTGAATCCAACTTGCACTTTTATAAATCTACAATATAATAAGTTCCTCACTGCCTCTTGCTTCCCCGCCTGCCGAAAGTCCTCATCTATTTAGTTTTTAAGAGCTCTGGTGAACCGTATGACCCTTCCAACTATCGGTATATTAATCTTCTATCTCGAATCGTGAAATGAAAGTAATCCTGAACGGACATTTTCTTGTTCCTTTCGTCCTAACGCAGGTATCCTCCAGGCCTCCATCCTTAGTCCTTACTCTATTTTTAATTTTTAATTTCCATTAATGACCTTCGTTTTGGCATCAGCTCTTAAGTGCGTATCTACGCTGAAGAGACAATTTACTCCTGTCTCGATTGTAAGTTTGATAAGGGTAAAATGGCAGATGATATCCAAAAAGATCTTCAGTCTGTTGTTAACAAGAGCAAAGATTTTTTTTCTGTCCAGAGTCTATCTTACATATCGATACGTCTACCATTCGCCTTTGCTTAGAATATTGCTGCCACATATGACCCGGTGCTTCTGCTATTTATCTAGCACCCCTTGAGAAAACCCAAAGAAGAATCAGTAATATTATTGGCTCAATTATGTCGTTACGGCTTCAGCCACTTTCCCATCACCATAGGGTTGCCTCCCTCTGCCTTTTCTATAAATACTTTGTCCGGATGAGTTCCTCGCTCTTTATCTGGTTTATTGCAAATAGTTTTGTTTTCATATTTTAAATATTCATTGGGGCTAGTTTTTTTTTAATTGTTATTTTATTCTCCTCCCCTCACAGACAACGAATTGTACATATGGGAATTGTTAGGATTTTCATAGAGACAATGAGGTATTATGGTGGATGTAATAAGAAAGGTGTTGTGGTAGGATCCACCTAATTTACATTGTGAGTACCGACCATATAAATATGGTTGGTACCGGGAAGACGAGGAGAGGAATCAAGAGATTCAATCCAGAGACTCTGCCCGACTGCGACTAAGTCAACCCATTCTCCAGGAACGGTCTTCCCAAGAATATACCAAAAGACTATATGTAAATATTGTGTACACTTTTTTGTTTCAATACATTTTGTTCTAAGTACATTTTGTGTTGTATTATTATTCCATGCATTAATCAAGTTTCAACAAAAGGTTAGTAAGATTGTGTTGTTTTCGTGTTAGGAATATTGTGGTATTTTTTGGGTCAGTGTTTGTAGCTAGATAAGTTTAAATTTAAGGCAGAAGAAGACCGTCCTTTTCCCGGTTCTCCATTTTTGGCCTTGTGCCACATTTTCTGTAAATAAGCGGAAATAAATATCGCTCTTCACTCTGATTCATAGACTATAAGTGCAACACTAGACTGTCGACGAGATCTCACCAATTAAGCTAGCCTGATGTTGCCGTAAGCTCCATGGTTTAATCTGCGAAAATTTAAATGCAATGTCAATCGCTATCTTTTGTCCTCCTGATTACTCTTCTTCTGTTCTCGCTCTCTAGCAATTGTTCCCGTTTCTAACTCTTCCAAACCAACTAAGCTCCTGTGCCTCAGTGGCTTTCTTTCCTTGGTTGGGGTGAAGTTTATTAGTTAAATAAAAAAAAAAAAAGAAATAAAAATCTACAATGGAAACGTCAGCCATTTTTCCATCGAGTGACTACCCCAGTTTGTGTCTCCGTTCTGGTTCGTGTCGTTAAGCCCCAAATTCTAGAATAGGCCCGCTAAAAGTTCACAAGGAAACGAAAGGCGAAAAATATCACGGCGAGAAACGAAAACTTGAACCCCGATTGTAGTATTTACTTTATTCTTTTCACTTGCTCGGTTTGAGTGGAAAAGTAGGTGACACTTGGGACAATGCCTGCCATCTCGGTCTTTTTTTCTAGCAACTCTCCTCTTATCTCGACATCACGACGCGTGGCGGGCAACACGAACGGGCGGCATTGGAGCTACCCGATGCAGAGTCTGTCCTCTCACTAAGGGCGGGCCAGAACTGACTTCTTCAATCTCATCTGTGACCAAAATAGACGGGAAACCGGAAATGTCTCGCCTGTTACCGCTTAACCTCAAAAGCTCTCATTTATTTATTCTTTCGTTCCCCTTTAGTCAAGTGGGAGCCTCTTAGAAGACTCAATTTCAAAACTCCCTTCGACCGGCCATAAAGCACGAATCAGATTGAGATAGAATTTCACGACACCCACTTCTATCTGTAGGGGTACTTGGACGAGGTGTAATGGTTAGCAATCCTGTCCCCCAAGATCAATTATAACTGAATAGTGAATTCAGTCCTCACTGGGTGCCCTATACCTTCGAACTTGTTCCGCATCTAAGCTACGCTTGGAAAACCACCACCATACAAAACCAACGCCCTCTATATATGTGGGTCTCCCAATCATACTGTCATAAATATTCCAAATACGGTTTCAGAATTGAGCATAAAATAAAATAAACGACAATGGGGAAATACCGGACGATCAATTTTTATAACAATGTCAAAGTAACTAGTACAAATAAATGCCAATTTTATCAAAAATCAGCCACATAACTAAACTAATCATTAGAATTCCATTGAATAGAGTTCGTGGCGGAATTAGATCAGAAATAAGGCAAGAACAAAATGGCCTTGTTCAAGACACTGGAACAAGAAATGCTATCTTTATGATCAGTGTGCAGTTAGAAATACAAACGCAAAAAGAATAATCCCTATGTTTCATAGATTACACACAGGCATTTTATAAGATGTACAACCCGAAGAGCTATTCGAAATATTACAAAAGCTTGATTTAGAGGAGAAAAATATTCGACCAATCTCTACTAGAGACAAATAGCCAGTAGCCAGATAGAGAAAGTGGTTAGTGAACACTAAGGGATAAGTTTTCTCGCCAGATTTATTTAACTGAAACCGTTTTAAAGATTTTAAATCATCAATATCCGGTTTTTTGTCACCTGACCTCAAAAGTTTAGAGGACACTAAGAGATACGTTTTCTAACCAGATTTATTTCACTGAAACAGTTTTCAAAATTATTTTTTTTTACCTTTGTATTTTTCCTTGTTCGAATAGGAAATTTATTTTTGGTCACTTTATCGTTATAAAGAAGAATTGACTGATTTAAGATGTTTGCCTTTGCACCTTTAATGTTGAAAGAAAAAAATTATCGAAATTTGACAAATTCCGTCTCTCTTCTGCAACAATGAAATTCCGTATTTTGAATAGAAAGGAACTCGACGTTTTGTCTTGTATTCTTCTGACCATTCCATGACTGATTATCATGTCTTCAAGCGTTTCGACAATGTCTTCAATAATACACGCTTTCATGGCAAGACAGCTGCCCATGAAGCCTTCAGGAATTCCATTGACCAGAGAAATTCTGACATTTGGTGCCAGGCTATAAACTGTATTGTTATACATTCGCAGAAATGTATTGTAGTCAGCGGTGCATGTTTCGATTAAAACCATTTTTCAAGACATTTTTTTTTTTTTTTATTTCAGTTTTCCGCAGTTTCAATGCGACATTAATTCCTCGACAATCTAATTTATCATTAAATAACAAAATTAACTGATTTAACATTTTATTTCCGCCTCGTCATCTATTTTAGAAGAACAAAAAATCTACCGAAATGTTACAAATTTTATCTCTCTACTACCACAATGAAACTCTGTCTATCGAACAGACTGGAAATCGAGGTTTTGTCTGAACCATTGTATTGTTTAGACCTTCTCTTTGACTGGCTATCATGTCCCAAAGCAGTTCGACAGCTTCCCGGTCAATAAATGTTTTTAATAACTAGAAAGCTGCTAAAGAAATTCAGAAAAGTTCTGTGTTTTGGAACAGGAGCATAAATTGCATTGTTTAAACATTGGCAGAAATGGTGCGTCGAAGTCAACAGCGTATGCTTTGACTGAAATGGGCTCCATCTTTTCTTTTCTTTCTTTTTTCTAGATCTGATAAAGTATTAAGAAGCAGGGAGAGTAATGAACTGTTATTTTAGAAGAAGAAATTTACCGAAATGTTACAAATCTTGTCTCTACTCTCGATGATCAGAGATTGATAGCAGATCTCTCCTTCGATCTTAGATGTAGGATCTTGATGGAAGGAAAAATAAAACTGGCTGGTTACATTCAATGCATCGAATTACATTTTATTATCACCGTTCGCGCTCTGAACTATCATTAATCCCTATGAATGGATGTTTCCTAAGGGAGATCCCATGACTTCAGCGCCAATTGGGATTTGAACTCAGTGGAACTCATACATACGATCCATCGCTAAAGAAGTTGGAAAAATGGTTGGTTCCCTGAACCGCTCCAGCAAGTACCCGACTCATCCTGCTATGCTCTACCCTTACAAGATCCAGATGTAAAATGGTGTACTGCTGCCATATATAGACAGGAGCTGCCTAGCCCTAGCTTACACTTTAGAATCAGCTTTCGACTGGTCAAGGTAATTATCCTCGTTGGGGCATGACAGCTCACGAGGACTGGAGCAGGTTTAGGGTCGGTTCGGTGGTGATGAAATACTACTAGCTTTGTTTCGCAGGTATTCCCATCAGCATGACTGGTACTAAAGTATTAAGAAGAAGAGAAGTACTGAACTGTTGTTATGTAATATTGATCCTCCTATATGGCAGGGAATACTGGGAAATCTCCTAACAGAAGCAAAAGAAATGTGATTCTACAGAAGGATGCTGAGAATCCCATCGACTGAACAATGTATGCAATGATTAAGCGTTAAAGAAAATGGAAACAAAAAGGACACTTATAACATCAGAAAGAGATAGTTGATGCGCATAATGAGGAATGAGAGCTTGGAAAATTTGACACTCACAGGACAGATTGCAGGCGAGGTATAAAGGAAAACTTTTGTGGTCTTGTTAGGGTTAGAAATAAAGACACAAGAGAGGAATTGATTTAAACAAATATATTAACAGAAACAGTAATACAAACATACGAACGAGAGGGTTACAGCAAGAATGTTCGGTCCGACTGTCAAAGCAGATTGCTGGAAACTTCCTTCTCCAAAAGGCAGTACCTGCTCCTATTTATAGTTGGGAGAGTCCATTTGTGCGTGGTTAAATTATCATAACAACCTGCTCCTATTTATAGTTGGGAGAGTCCATGTGTGCGTGGGTAAATTACCATAACACTATCTATCTATCTATCTATCTATCTATCTATCTATCTATCTATCTATCTAAATGTTGTGGCCATGTTAGGGCCCGAAATAAAGCCACGAAGAGAGGAATTGAGGTAAACAAATATATTAACCAAAACAGTAATACAAACATATACAAACGAGAGTGTTACAGCAAGAATGTTCGGTCCGACCGTCAAAGCTGACTGCTGGAAATTTCCCTCTCTAAAAGGCAGTACCTGCTCCTATTCATAGTTGGGAGAGTCCATTCGTGCGTGGGTAAATTACTATAACAATTTCTTTCTTTCTTTCTTATGCTAACCTCTATGAGAGCAAATATTTGCGTCTTCCTGGGTTTACATTCTTGGCCGACGGGAAGTTAAAAGTTTAAATTGAATCAATTGCTAAGTCTGCTGCTAGGAAAGTTAGTTCACTGTGTCGTGCTAAACAATTGAATCCTGAATCTATCTTACATATTTGTAAGTCTGTCATTTGTTCATGTTTTTAATATTGCTGCCACATATGGTCCGGTATCCCTGGTGTATATTTTAGGGATTTCTGATAAAATCCAAAGAAGAATCAGCAATATTATTGGTCCTGATCATACATCTCGCCTTCAGTCACTTAACTACTGCCATAATGTAGCTTCCTTGTGCTTTTTCTATAAATACTTCCATGCTAATTGTTCAGATGAGTTCTCTGCTATTTTCCATGAGCTCCTGGATAAAATCCAGAGAAGAATCAGCAATATTATTGGTCCAGGTCTGGCAGCTCAGTTTCAGTCACTTTCCCATCGCCATAAGGTTGCCTCTCTGTGTCTTTTCTATAAATACTTTCATGGTAATTGTTCAGATGAGTTCTTTGCTATGGTAAATATACCTTTTGAATTTAAGGTGTCCCTGCTATTTACCTTGAACTCCTTGATAAAATCCAAAGAAGAATCAGCAATATTATTGGTCCTGATCTGGCTGCTCGGCTTCAGTCACTTTCCCACCGCCATAAGGTTGCCTCTATGTCTTATTTCTATAAATACTTTTATGGTAATTTTTCGGGTGAGGCTAGACGCTTTTTGAATTTAAGCGCAGTACCAGATTATCGACATGGCCTCATAAATTCACGGTTGAATTGTCTAACTGTACGTTCTACGCAAACAGCGTATTTTCTTCCTGAGTCAACTTCATCCGCGTCCTTGGTAAGACGATAAACAACGTCCGACAGCAAGATCAGGAGGTTTTGAAGAACATGGAACCACCTCTTAATTGCTGGTGTTCCCAGGTTCACCCTGACCAGAAATTGTAGCACCTTATGGGAAAATAGTTAACCTCCTAAAATGGATTCAAACACTATGAAAGTGTAAAGATAGGTTTTAATACTAGAAATATTTTTTTTGTAAAAAATTATTACCAGCAATACAATTTTTGAAAAAGAAATATCAGCAGCTATACATTTGTTGAAAAAAATATTAGCAGCCATAGATATTTTGAAGAATGAATATTACCAGCAATACATTTTTGGAAAAAGAATATTACCAGCAATAAAAATGTTGTCTTCATTAAAAATAAAACAAACCAAACCAAACAGTTTATTTTAAGAATATTACCAGCAACAAAGAATTTGTCGGCATTAAAAGCAAAGCAAAGCAAACCAAACAGTTTATTTTCTCACCCTTCTCCCTTGTGAAACTCTTTTCCAGCGCCATGCTTTCCAGCCAACTTTGATCTTCAAAGATTTAATATCAATATCAATCAAACATGTCTTCATAATTATTATTCTATTGTTCTCGCTCCTTAATAATGTTTCTCTTTTTTCTTATTTTTTCACCCTCAGTAACCCCCTGTGTCTTAGTGACTTTACTGCCTTACATGGGGTGAAATGATTTTTAAAAAGAGTTTTATAAAAATACAGTTAAAACCAGTTATATTAATTCTAGTTAATTTCGTTGTTTCCATACAAATAATATGAATTTATATTTGAATCATCACAGCTTTTATTGAATGACTTGACTAAACGTTAATTTAAATAAAACAGAAAAAAACGACTTGTTGTTAGCGTTCTGAAAGCAAAGGAAATATTTGTCGCGGATTACAACGCAGATAATAAATCACTAAGTTCAGACTCGAATATCGGGGGCAGAAAGAAATGCCGAAAACTCGATTCGCAGGTACTATTACACAAATCACAATGCACGCAACCAATTAGAAAAATAACTCACTCTCCAACCAACGCGGTAGCCAAAATACACCAATTTTCGTCCCCGATTCGAGAACACCAACTGCTTTTATCGGCCGAGCATTTTTTTTCATTCGTCGACAACTGCAAGAGGACGCCCAATTTTTGCATATCAAAATACTTTTATAGCGACTGCTGCGACGGACTTGTTTTTAATTTAAATATTCTGTCTTCAGCATGTAATACGGCCCCTTTTTTCTGACTGCGGAATCGGAGAGTTGAGTTTAAATTCCAGAGGAGGCACGGTGGAGTAAGGGATAAGCGGCTCGGACTGAGGAATCGGAGAGCCGACTTCGAAATCCAGAGGAGGCACGGTGGAGTAATGGATAAGCGGCTCGGACTGAGGAATCGGAGAGCTGAGTTCGAATTCCAGAGGAGGCACGTTGAGTAATGGATAAGCGGCTCGGGAGGAATAATGAGGATCAGAGGAGGCACGGTGGAGTAATGGATAAGCGGCACGGACTGAGGAATCGGAGAGTTCGAATTCCAGTCGAATCCCTGACATTCATTCAGCTAGAATATAAATAGAAGAACAGACTGGGTTCTATAGCCTTGGGTGGCAACTGGTCTAGGAAATGAACATAGAAGTCAATACTTAGAGGCGACAGTCTGTTTCATGCTAGATGCAATCGCCAGGCCACAAGTGCTGTTATTTTTCTCGGCTATTTATATATATACGGGTCAGTGGTGCATTGTGGGTAGTCTATTTTGGCGGTTAATCTACCGGAAGTCGATTATTTGTTTATTTATTTATTTGGGTTAAATTATTTTGCTTGTTTTTACTTATTTTTACTTTTTATTTTTATTTATATATTTTTTTTATTTCTTATCTTATTTATTTATTATTTTTATTTTAATCGATGTTTTTATTAACGTAGTAAAAATTTGTTTATGTCGCTTATTTAATAGTTTTGTTTTGGTTTGGGAAGATTGTTAAAGCTATTTATTCAATTTTGGGGTTGATGTAGTTTTATTCTAACTATTATTTTGGCGGAAACAGTTTTTAATTTGTTTATTACTTCATGTATTTATTTGGATTGATTATCTT